TCACTTGTGTCGCCACCAATTGTATTGGACACTCTGATGTTATCTGGATCTGGCATGATCTGTGTTTCAAGATCAGAATCCCGGTTGAAGTCTCGCCCCTTGTAGGCGATCAATCTAGGAACTTGCCTCAATGCCGAGATCGCTTGCGGCTTGTCCTTGTACCTGATGTCATGCATCTTGCATAAGACCTTCAGGTCCGTGTAGTGAAGACGAAGGAGCTGCATGTCCGTCATCGGTTCGACCCTGAAATTAATACTCCATTTTGCCTTTGACTTCGTTGTCGACACGTTGCGATTAATCTTCGTTCGTCCTCTCTTGGGGTGTGGAGGGATACGCGTCCCAATCTGCTTTTGTTCGGTGCGCTTTTGCTTGGCATGCTTCGACTCGGAATGTTGCGGCTACCATGTACTGAAGTTGGTAGTCCAGTCATTGTCCCCACATATCTGTTCGGATGAACCGAAGACGACACGATCGGAGTGCAGGTACGAGTCGGTTCATTGATCTTCTGCAACGCGCCCTTCACAACCGCCAGATCAGACTTTAGTAGCTTTAGGTTGTTGACCTCCTTCTGCACTTCCGATACCATCCTTTCTACTTTATCTTCCGCCTCTGCATTCTTCTGACCGGTTGCGCTTGGACCAACTTGATTTTGTCCCCCTTGGTTCATCTCTGTCGGCTTCAGTGCTTCATCAATGATGGACTTGAGCGCGTCCGGAGTTAGCTCAGGCTTCTTTGCGGTGTCTTTCTTGTTCGGAGGAGCTGGCTGCTTTTCACTTGTCTTTCGTATGAGTTGCTCCAGTGTCTTGAGAACTTTGTCTATCTCCCGGCGGAGCTTAAAGATTTATTCCCTTAGAACTTTGTCCCCCTTAAAGATAAACACTCGATTTCTCGGTGGGGGGAAATCATTCCGTTTTTGCTCCCACAATGGTCTCAAGAACCACCTTGGAGATTCTGACTCCGCCCTTCTTCTCCGTGACGATGGTGATCTTGACTTATGTCTTCTATCTCTCGGAGTTTTCGATCTCCCCCTTCTTAAGCGCTTCCTCCCTTGAGATCCGGAAGATGATGATGAGTGTCTGCGCTGCCTCCTGTCCGACGATGATCGCGAACGCGACATCTTCCTTGAAGCTTGGGAACGTCAGGTAGGTAGTCTTCGTACTTGAAATCGATACAAAACCCCACAGCGCCGTTGATCGTCTTCAATACACACCAGATAAGTAAAATAAAATTTCCAAAAATCGCTGAGTAATCTCCAATAAATCGCCATTATGATATCATGAAAGAAAAGGGTTACGAATTATGAGAGAGAGATAAAGACAGTGAATGTAAAATAGAAGAGTGACAGGTCTATACAGTGCCAATCATCGCGGGTACCGCCCGCAAGTTCTAAGCACCGTGCATAGAGATAAACACATGCAAATGTAGACAAAATGTTAGAGGTTTTACTTTCACAGCATACACATGCAAGTGTAGACAGAACGTGCGAGGTTTTACTTTCACAGCATACACGTAATGTCCATGGCATGCGACACCAGTCACGATTACCTTTCTACCTCACTGCTCAGGTAATCATTTCAACCAATATCCTTAGCATTTATACCCTTCGTTCCCAATCATTTTCCGCCACTTTCCCTATCGTTGCAGTGTACTCATCATCCATCCTCAGGATCTTTCGCAGTCGCTCTCTGTGTTGTCCTTGTCGTCATCGATTTCCAACATGCCTTCAATCTGGAGCTACTTTCATCATATCTAATGATTTTGTGCATGTTACTCATGTAATCTCCTCTCTGTCGGAATTCCGTCTTACTATGGTACTTGCCTATAACGCCGCTGTTTTTTTATACTGACTCGAATCTGACCTTGTTTGTTATTCTGTTCTTGTTTACTTTCATGGCCGTGGATTTTCCTTCATTTCCAGGTGAGTACTTTTTCTTTATTGGTTCGTTTCCACTGCTTTAGG